CCCCCATCTCTGCGCCAGGAGTGTCGGATGAACGGATGATCCGACACTCTCGGCGCAGAGATGGGGGGCCCACTGGCCGCTGGGTACCGATCCGGGCCTGTGCTGGGCCCCCTAGAGGCCCAAGGCCCTGAAGCGCCTGCACCGGCGGTAGTTCCGCCACTGGTGATAAGTTTCCAGTCCTCTCCTGGTTTTTATGATATCTGTCTAAAAATAAATAATACTTACTCTTTGTTTCCAGGTTCTTTTTGGGAGAATTAGAAAAATGTTTGCAAGATCCAGAAAGGCTCCCACTGTTGTTTGTGAAACATGTAAGTATTAAAGACCAATATAACCAATTGATTTTCTTAAGAATGTCACAAGATTGATGATGCATGTTTTGCTTAATTTTATAAATATTTGTTGAATAAGCATGTGCTTTGATCTAAGGGACAACGATGTATTCATGTATCAGATGAAGATTTGATTGTCTTCAACCACCCCAGCACCAGCCAATCAGGGGGACTTCCTGTTCTAAGTGGACAAAATGTCCTTAAAATGTCCTTTTATGCTGTGCACATGCACAGTGGCTATGATTGCTCTGTCATTGGACATCGCCAATCACGGGCAAAAGTACAGAGCCAATGAGAGTGGTTCTGCACCTTATCACTGTGACCAATGTAAGTAATCTCGTATATAAACACTAGCAGTGATTAGCAGCTAGCTTTCCCCTTTCCTCTGACACACACAGAGTCATTGTGAGAGGAAGAGGAAGCTAGGTTCGGATCACAGCTAGTGTTTACATCAAAGTGCCCCTAAAACACCTCACAACCAGTGCCTGATTACAGCCAGTGCCAGTATTTCAAGTTTTTACAATCACAGCTAGTGCCAGTGTTTCCATCTTGCTGATTACAGCCAACACCAGTGTTTCCAGTTTTCTGTTCACAGCCAGTGCAGTGTGTTTCCAGCTGAGCAGAACTAGTGCCATTGTTTCTAGTTTGCTGATCACTGCCAGTGCCGGTGTTTCCAGATTGCGAATCACAGCCAGCCAGTTTTTTTCTGTGCTGCCCAATGTCCAAAAAAATGTACAGTAGAGAGGAGGAATATAAAATTCTTAGTAGGACTGATAGAGGAAGCAATGGAGAGACTTTAGAGTCAGATTCAAATTAAGTGTGTAAACCTATAGAATTCAGAGGTACATTAACGGCCACCTCTGATTCACAGATTGAAGAGTTCTCTGCAAAATGATTCATGTGTACTGCATCACAAAGAATTAAACATCCAAGAGAAATGCACAAGGCAAGCACCAGCAGTGGACTGCATGAGGCAGTCAGTAGCAGTGGGCTGTTGCAACAACAGTGTCAGAGAGCCAGTACTAGTACCCCAGGGGCACTTTTATTTATGAATTTGTCATCCACCCATTTACAGCCCAACCAGGTATTAAGGTGTTAACGTAAAATGTAACACCCATACAATCTTTTCTAATGTAAGATCTACCATTAGATTTATTTGTAGAACAATGTAACCTGTACGATCGACAGTTCATTGCCAGTAATCCAGATTCTAAATATGCCAAACCCCTTCAGTGGAAGCCTATTAATATATCAGAATGTCTGCACTGCATCAGATTTTCTGCACTTGACATGGGAATCACCAAAAAAACCCTGCAATTTTAGTCCACACACCCAGTCCACTACATCCCTATATATATATATATATATACACACTGAGTGGCCAGTTTATTATGACCACCTGACGTTTGTCAGCAAATTAGCTATAATTAGCTATAATTTTGCACTGAAGTTGCTAGAGGGCCAGACTATTATAAATAGGGAAGCAGGTTGTTTACTACGATAGTAGATGTGATTTTGTTCTGAAGATATGGGTAAACAACGTGATTTAACAGCCTTTGAACGTGGGATGATTGTTGGCGCAAGCCATGGAGCGAGTATCAGCAAAACAGCAGAATTCGTTAAATGTTCATGAGGGGTTCATTGTTAAAGTGTTTAAAGACTGGACTGTCAGCCGAAAATCTGGGTCTGAACGTGCGAAACACGACCGTTTCTACTGTACAATCGCACGTCTTCCGTCGAACGAGCAGGCTGGACGAGCTAGTGGCGTGCTTGTTCGACAACTGCCAGTGTTCAGCATTGCAGTCATTGGAAGCGATGATCGCAAGTACGCAAGTACGATCGCAAGTACGATCTGCCTGTCCAAGATGGGCAGATCGTACGTTTTTAAAATTACTTTACAACCATCGCAAGACAAACGTTTTAAAACCTTTAATTACCTGCAGATTTTCTGTGGACAGATGGAAAAAGTGCAACAGATTGGCCCAGGTGGAGATTACTCCATCCACACAGTTAAGTGTAGATGGAGGAATCTGTTGCACCTTTTCCATCTGACCACAGAAAATCTGCAGATAATTGTGAGGTGTATGGCCAGCTTTAGGACATTCACGTTTTATATGCGATTAGAACGGTTTATGAGCACAATTTTATTCATGTATATTGTATGGATGGTTTTGAACTGGATATTTTTTAGAATTATTTATGAATATTATATATGTTTATTGAAGGGGGAGGGTTATATTTATAGTGCCACACTGTTTATGAATGGTATTGTTATATCTGTTTTACTATATTAGTGTTACTGCACATATTTGGCAAGCACTGTTGTTTACACAGGTTACACATTTGATTTCCAAATTTACAAAGGGAGAGAGAAAGCCCACTGGAGACCCATGGTTGTCTATCTCATATGAGTAGAAATGGAAGGATAGTGTGGGATCTTATGTCATCAAGGATACCACTTCTATGTGGACAGTTATTATTCCAGTGTGCCACTTTCACCCAGGTGCTGGTCGGGTCCAAAAACCTCTCTGCATTCATGAGTGCAATCTATATATTTAGGGAGACGTAGATTTAAATGACCACTGGACAGCATTCAAAACCCGTACAGTCCGGGTTTTGAATGCTGTGTCCGGGTTTCATGGCAGCTGAAACCCGGACACAAGATCTCAGGCAAACTGGGGCAACTAAAATTAAGATAAGGGCTATTGGCCCCCCACTGAAATTAGGCTTGACTGTGATATTTACACATGAATTGGTGGAACTATTTACATATGAATAAGCCGTGACTCATTCATATGTAAATATTGTGGTTAATTGATATGCAAATGCTGCACCTCCTTGCTGTTCAGTGTATATACCTCCGTTACATTGCTGGTTAGTGTAAATACCTCTGTTTCATTGGCGGTAAGTCTAAGGCTTTCTTACTAATTCTCTCCTTGCTCTATGTCCTTGCTGTCTCTCCTCCCTCTCTCCCCTCTCTCTCTCTATCTTGGCTGTCTCCTGTTTACTCTCCCAAAAAAATTATACGCAGTGCTAGAGTGTTCAGGCTCAATGGAAAAAAAGGTGGCAACTTTACCCTACCTCTCAACCCAAAGAACAAAGTACTGTTACATACGTTTGTCCTTTTTTTTCCCCATTGTCCAGTTACATTTCATATGCCTTTTATAAATCTACAGGAAGGCCTGGCTCCTTCCTTAAATATCAAATAGAAATCATACCAGCCCTAATTTACCACCTGAGAGGCTTCTGCTACAGTCACTATGTAGCGCTCTCTAGTGGTGGGTTGTTAAATTAGTTCCTATGCCAGGACCTACAGTACAGGTTTTACAGTGATGATGGGTCCAAGTCTCTAGCAAACATCCCACTGGTTCATTAGATTCTTCAGGCACCGCTGTAGTGTTCTCTATAAGAGGTATCTCTATACACTGTCATTCTAGTCCTAGTCCTAGTATGCAGGAGGTCCTGCCAAACACTTCAAGGACCATGATACATAGTGGCCCAGGCTGCCAGGCACATACACTCACAGAACCTTTCTTATCACTGACAAGCAGGCAGACCTTCCTCCACCAAACCACCACTCATTCCTGAACTGAACTGGTCCCATATTCACACTCCAGGCATAAGCCATTTTGCATAAGTAGCATAGGAAAAGAGACAAAGTCCCTATCCACTTTTTTTTTGAAGGTGCTTACTGAACTCCTTAGCATAGCAACAACACATTGAAGTTATAATTTTCAAGGTCAAAGATATTGTAAGTAAATCCATAGATATGGTAATAGCATAAAATCACTGTTAACAAATGTCCTGAAACATTTAAATTCACTGTGCTGTCAATACAAATGTTCACTGATGGGGGAATTGTGTTGGAACACTGTTTTCTACATGATCTTCTCTCCTTCATCTTTCTTCCCATTCCGCGGCTCATCCCACCAAGTCCTTATATGGCCTTCTAGGGAGCCTGGTTAAAATACATAAAGGCTACCTGTTAATCTTTGGGATTTCCCATAAAAGCAACAGTGACATCCAGTAATGCCTGCAGAAACTACAACCAACAATCCTTCCAGATGTATACAATAGGCTCCTGTTATAAGCAGACTGCATTAAAGACACTTCTCTGAATAAATCCCTTCTACCGAAGTAGACTGGACACCCCAAAAAATGCCTTGTATGCAGCAAAGATGAAAGAAGGCGAGTGACACATTACTATTGTCCCCAGGGCCGTATATATTTTTTTTTCCCTGGGGTGGTTCAGCTTCCTCAAATTATAAGACTTTATCTAGCAGACACACCAAGGTTTGAAAAAATATACCAGCCATATCATTCCTAAACCAATCCTTTACCCTGAGCAATACCGATTTTGTTGTTTGACACCATATGGATAAAAACCATGTTTTAAAAAGACTTATAATTGGTACCTACCAATTCACACAAACCGCTTAGTACACACTTATTGGGATTTTTTTTTACCAAAAACATTTAGCAGAATAAATTTTGGCCTATCTTTAGGAAGACATTTGCATTTATTTGATATTTTGTATAACAAAAAGTATAAAATATAATTTTAAACAGCGGCAATCAAACAGCACCAAAAGAAATCTCTATTTGTGTAAAAAATTAGGTGCCCGGGGGCAAGTCTTTTATTAGCTCCCCGCCCCCTCCTCAGCCTCCCCCTAGCGCAGCACCGTCAGTTCTTGCGCCAAGCAGCCATTCAAAATATGCTGCCCGGTGCCGAGTGTCAGCTTGAGGTAGGTTTGGTTCCATCCATATGTGCATTGATTACAGCTCCCACACATGTCCTGTAAAGGTGCCTGGACCGGTGTGATGTAACATACTGGCTCTCGGCACCTCTACAGGGTGTGCAAGGGAGCTGTACAAGCACTGCACATATGGATGGAGCTCCATCACAGTACAGCAGCCCACACCGGACCCCAGGCTAAGGATCCACCCCAGTTCTCGTAACGTAGGGTGAATGGGTGGAT